TTTTTTTAATGTAGAAAATAATATTCAAGTGTTATTTATTGATGTCTTTTAAAAAAGAAGAAAAAATCTGCAATTTGTGTTATAGATCTGTTTATTGGTGTACATCTCTTAAAATTTTATTACCATTTGATTTTAGTTTAAGAATAGGACATTTCTAAATTCAATTTGAATCAATAAAAAAAATTAAATATTAGTGCTCGGTTGGAAAATAAATAAATTGCTAAAAAACTAAAGAATTACGCTATTTTTTAAGGATGTAGATCTGTATTAATAGTGTTTAAAAACTATAAAAACAATCTAAATAAACATAATTATATTATTATAGAACACACAAATGAGATTATAATAATATAATTAAATTATTTTAAAAAATAATTGTATAAAAATAAACAAAAATCAAAATTATATAATCTCGCACACTGGAACTCCAATGATGACATTATAGATACAATAAAAGAATTTTAACAAAATAAAACCAACAACACTAAAAAAATCATAAACGGTAAACAGAGTGAATTACACAAACAATTCAAAAATATTAAGGCTCATTTATTTTTAGGTTACTTGTGTAGCCCATTCCAATTATAATTTGTGATCTTATTTTGTGTAATTAAAATTATCTTGTCAAAATCTTTTAATAATATCAATAATATCATTATCAGAGTTTAGAAATGTATCTAAGATCTTTTTGTTTTTTTCTCATGCTTCTTCTCTCTTGTCTTTTTATTGAATTTTATGTCTGATAATTTTATAAACTAAGAAAGTTATAGATAATACATACAATTTATAAATTATAAATATCATCTATATCTCTTTAGAATTTACTATTTTTCTAAATATGTTTTGCAATATATTATTTTATTATTTTTTACCATGATGGAGTAGAAAAAACTCTAATGTAGATTGTATTAATATATGTTTCCCACTAATATTATAGATATTATTTATTAATGAAAAATCATAATCAATTGATTTATATTAAAAATATTAAAGAATTATCTCAATTCAAAAGTTTAAAATGTTAAGTGAGATCTTATGATATAATTTATATTATTCTCTAACACACTTTCTAAAATGAAAGTTTTTTGAACTTGAAACTTATGCATGCTCATTTCATCTTAATCCAAAATTTTAAATTATTAGGTGAGGTTTTATGATATAATTTATATTATTTTTTAACACACCATTCAAATAAAAACCTTTTGGATTTGAAACTTGCATATGCTTATTTTACCTTATATTTAATTTTTATTAAATAAATAAAAAATGTAAAAGTTTTTTGGACTTGAAATTTACACATGTCCATTTCATCTTAACCTAAAAACTTAAACTATTAGATGAAATCCCAATATATGATATATATTATTTTTTAATACACCTCTCAAGTGAAAACCTTTTGAGTTTGAAACTTGTATATAATCATTTTACCTTGTGTTTTATTTTTATCAAATAAATAGAGATGATATGATTCGAACTCGTGATTATTTGATCATCAAGACTCTTATACCATATCAAAAAGTCATCTTAACCTAACGATTTAAACTATTAAGTGTAATCTCATAATATAATTTATATTATTGTTTAATGAAAAGATCGTCCTGATAGGAGTACAAAACTGTACAAAGGGTAATTATATAATTATAAATTTAGGTTATTTGAAATAATTAAAACTATTATTTTTTAATATATTTTATATTAAGAAATATATTAATATATATATACTTTTAATTTTTTAATTTATTTTTAATATCAACATATTGAAATAATTTAAAAATTTAAAGAAATTAATTTTAAAACAAAATTAAAAATATGGGAAACTTTGGTTAAGATGGGAATTTTAGAGTGTATTTATTTTTTGATTAAAAAATATTTTTGAAAAGTTTTAAATTTTTTTTAGTTTTAATTAATTTTTTTATATTTTTAAATTATTTTAATATACTAATTTTAAAAAATAGAACACATATTATTTTAATATACCATCCACCATTAAGTCTTCCCTCTCTCTACCTCCCAGAATCTCTCTTTCTTCCGTGTTTCTTTCCATTTTCATTTTTAATTTCTTTGATTACATCGAGAGAGATTGGCTCTGCTTGTGACCCGTATTGACGTCACCTAGCATGAGAGACCTACAGCTGACCCAGGTGGCGGGCACCCGGCAATCCCCTCTGGCCGTGGTTTACACCGATGACATGATGGAGGATGTTAGGCTTCTTGATTCCTGTGAAAGCCGGGACGATCATGATGACGGTTCGCATGCAATTGTGATTGGAGAAGATGGGTTTAAGAGAATTCAAGTGAGAGTTACAGGGATGACTTGTGCTGCTTGTTCCAATTCTGTTGAATCAGCATTGAAGAGTGTTCATGGGGTTTTCAGAGCTTCTGTTGCTTTGCTTCAAAATAAAGCTGACGTCGTATTCGACCCTGCTTTGGTTAAGGTAGGTTGGTGTTGGTGGTGATGGCTAATTGAATTTTGATTTTGGTGCCTGGTTGTGAATTTGGAGATGTATGTTTTTGTTACCTTTTTTTGTTTTTTGTTTTTTTAAATTCGTAGCTTCTTATAATTTAGTCAGTAACTTTGATTTTGTGTTGGTTATTTTTAAATTTTGTTTTGGTATTTCTTTAGTTACTGGTTTATGGTACTGAGATGGATCGTACGTTAGTTCTAAATCTGAAGAAGTTCTATTTTCAGCTTGTGTTTTTTTTTCTTTTAATTATTATAGCTGATGATGGATTGGAAGTTGTTTTTATAGCATGGTGTTTTGAGCTGAATTATTAGCTGTTCAAAGTTTTTAACACTGCTGTACTTTGACTTTTAAGCACGAGGTTAGTTTTCTGATCGATGTTGAGTTCGTATGATTTTGAACATGGTAATTTTTTTTATATGCATTTATGGATCATTGGACAGACTTTTATTGAGGAATTTCTTTATGGTTATAGTGCTTCTGATGTTAGAAGAGATCTAAGAAGACATATTAGTCCTACATGATAAGAGAGGTATGCATTGACATTGCTATTGATAAGGCCGAACAACTGGGCATATACGATATTACCAGTTACTTGGGATGCATTCTAGTTAAAGATTTCTTGCTCCTACATTTCTGTGCACGGATACACTCAGAAAGTTTGACTTTGAAATTCTGTATCCCTATTTCTGGTTAAATTTCTTGCTGTGGTGTGGGGATTTGGTAAAATGAAATCTTCATGTACTCCAAAAAACCCCATACTTGATTGCAATGCTTCAACTAAATTTGATTAAATTAAATTATCTATGTGAATTACTTGATAGCAGTGTTTCATCTATATTTGATTTATGAATTTCAAGGTTATGTATTTGTTGCTTATGAAAATGAGTTTCCACAGTTGCTTAAAGACAACTTGACAACGGGTTCTCTTAGATGTTTATAAGTTTATATTACTATTGAGAAATTTATCTCACATGGTTTCCATTTCTGTAATGGCTTAAAAACTGCATGGGCTATTACGTTGCATGGCTTAATTGCTGTGTACATAAATTTACTGAAGTAGTTTATAATGTCTTAATTCAGGACGATGATATCAAGAATGCAATTGAGGATGCAGGTTTTGAAGCAGAGATTCTATCTGAACCTAGTACATTAAAAAAAAAGCCAAATGGAACCCTTTTGGGGCAATTCACAATTGGAGGTATGACCTGTGCAGCCTGTGTGAACTCTGTTGAAGGTATTTTGAGAAATTGTCCTGGTGTCAAAAGGGCTGTGGTGGCATTGG